ACAGATAACTGTGTGAAAATGTAAGAAGTAGAAGTAAAAAGTAGGCTGAAAATAAACTACTCAAGCAAAGTACATATGCCCAAAAATTCTACTTAAGTACAGTAACAAAGTATTTGTACTTAGTTACTTTACAACTCTGGCTGCCTTTACAACAACAACTCAAGGAGCTTTTTTTTTTCCAATTGTAGCAGTGACATTAGTTGTGCTTCCATCCAATTTTTATTCCAATTTTTAGCAAATTTTTTAAATTTCAGAACTTATTCGGCAAATGTCGTTCCATCTCTCATTTTGCATATTAAATTTTTTTGAAAAACCCAAAAACACCTCCACCAACCGCCCAAAACACACCCACTGGAACCGGACTGGAACGTCAATAGAAAAAGCACCCGAACTGACCCGTTCCGACACCAACACCAACACTACACTAAGTGGCACTAGTGGAAAAGGGGCCTTAGTGTATGTTTGTATTCCCCAACTTAAACTGGTCTATTTTTGTGTGTGTTTTGAGTGATCTATGGTTTTCTCTTTTTTTCCCCTTACTTTTCCTTTAACAGTAAGCGGCAGGCATTTTTTAAATGGGACCGTGCAGCACCGTTTCAGCTGAGACCAGAGCAGGGTCTGCTGGAACCGGGTCTGGAGTGTCGCATCGCTGTGGTCTTTCAGCCGCAGGAGGCACGGGTGTACCAGCAGCAGGTGTGCTGCAGATTCGGAGAAGGGGACAACGTCGACGACAGCTGCACTGTCCTTCTGATCGGTCAAGGTGCAGTTGTCGTTGGACATGATTATTTAAAAAAAAAGATTTGAGCCACAGTATCTATTATAACATTAACGCCTGAGGATTTATTTGATTTTTTTATTTTAAAGCAAAGTACCCCTATCTTCAGTTTCAAATTCCAAATAGCGAAGCRTACGACGACCATAAAAACCCAGAGTTGCACTTCGGGTCTGTGGCAGTTGGCCAGCGTTCACATAAACACTTTGACATTTTTAACCCCTCTCCTGTAAGTAGCGTGCACACCCAGACCAAAACATACGCTCCCAAGTGGATTCTTTCACATTCATCGTATCGTTCCTCTCCGTCAGGTAAATGTGTCATTTTCTCTGTCACGAGCGCCCGGTGTCGTAGCCATGTTTGGACCAGAGTTCAGCTGTGACATCACCAGCGCTGAGGTGGTGCCTGGTGGATCACTACAAGCTACGGCTACTTTTTCTCCTACCGTGGTGGACACCGTCTCTGTGGAGTACTTGTCTCTTAAATATGGTGGGGCACTCAGCGAGTCACGGCTCAAACTCATGGGAAAATGTGACGGTAAGAAATCATGCGCTTCATCTTATCAAAGATACAAATATGCTTCTCTAACATTCCTCATATGACAAATTTAAAACAATTTAAAACTAAAAGATAGAGTGGGTAAAATAAGTATTGAACACGTCACCATTTTTCTCAGTAAATRTATTACTAGAGGTGCTAATGACATGAAATTTTCACCAGATGTTGGTAACAACCCAAGTGATCCATACATACAAAGAAATCAAACCATAAATGTCCAGAAATGAAGTTATTTGTAATAATGTGGAATGGCACAGGGAGAAAGTATTGAACACATGAAGAAAGGGAGGTGTAAAAGACATGGAAAGCCAAGACACCAGCTGAACTCTCTCAGTAATTAGAAAGCAAGCCTGTCCCTTGTCAGTGCAAGTTAATATCAGTTGGTTCAGTCACAAAATATGGCCAGGTATCACACAAGAACCATCTGATGATGGGTAAAAGTAAAGAGCTCTCTCAAGACCTTCACAACCTTATTGTTGCAAAGCATAATGATGGCATCGGTTACAGAAGAATGTCTAAACTTCTGAAGGTTCCAGTGAGCACTGTTGGGGCCATAATTCAGAAGTGGAAAGCACATTATTTCACCATAAACCGACCACGACCAGGTGCTCCTCGCAAGATTTCTGACAGAGGAGTGAAAAGAATTATCAGAAGAGTTGTCCAAGAGCCAAGGACCACTTGTGGAGAGCTTCAGAAAGACCTGCAATTAGCAGGTACGTTTGTTTCAAAGAAAACAATAAGTAATGCACTGAACCACCATGGCCTGTATGCACACTCACCACACAAGACTCCACTGCTGAAGAAACAGCATGTTGAAGCTCCTTTAAAGTTTGCTGCACAACATTTAAACAAGCCTGTGTAATACTGGGAGAATATAGTCTGGTCAGATGAGACCAACAHTGAACTGTTTGGATGCCAGAATACACATCATGTTTGGAGGTCAAATGGCACTGCACATCAGCCCAAAAACACCATACCAACAGTGAAGATTGGAGGTGGGAACATCATGGTGTGGGGCTGTTTTTCAGTATATGGTACTGGCAAACTTCAAATAATTGAAGGAAGGATGAGTGGAAAAATGTACAGAGACATTCTTGATAAAAATCTGCTTCCATCTACCAGGATGATGAAGATGAAACGTGGCTGGACATTTCAGCAAGACAATGAGCCCAAACACAAAGCCAAGGAAACTCTCAGTTGGTTTCAGAGAAAGAAACTAAAGCTGCTGGAATGGCCCAGCCAATCACCTGACCTGAATCCAACAGAAAATCTTTGGAAAGAACTAAAGATCAGAGTTCATAGAAGAGGTCCACGAAACCTTCAAGATTTGAAGACTGTTTGTGTGGAAGAATGGGCCAAAATCACACCTGAGCAATGCATGCCACTAGTTTCTCCATACAGGAGGCGTCTTGAAGCTGTCATTGACAACAAAGGCTTTTGTACAAAGTATTAGATAAAGTTCAGTAAGTGTGTTCAATACTTTTTCCCTGTGCCATTCCACATTCTWACAAATAACTTCATTTCTGGACATTTATGGTTTGATTTCTTTGTATGTATGGATCACTTGGGTTGTTACCGACATCTGGTGAAAATTTCATGTCATTAGCACCTCTAGTAATATATTTACTGAGAAAAATGTTGATGTGTTCAATACTTATTTTACCCACTGTAGATGTCCTTGAATTAAAAGAAATATTATTCCCTCTAGGTCCCAGAGTTTCCTTGTCCTCTTCTGTTTTGGACTTTGGATGTGGTAAAGAAGGACGATCAGTAGTTCAGACAGTGCAGCTGCTTAATTCTTCCCATGTTCAGGCTATCTACCAATGGGATATTGACTGTGAGAACAGTGTATTTAGTATTCTACCAGCAGGTGGCACTGTGCTTCCACATAGCCACATCAAACTGAAGGCAGTTTATAAACCCACACACCCTATGGCGCACTACAGAAGAGTGTCATGTCTCATACTGCACGGGGTAAGAAAGGAGAAATGCAGACAAACAAGATGCAGCCACGCATACATACAACTAAAGTTGTTCTGTATCCTTTCAGGATCCAGTGTTTCTGGATTTGATTGGCACCTGTTATTCAGAATCCCAGCAACCAGAAGTACTGAAAACTGAGCACTTGGATTTGTACAAGCATCACTATTACCATAGAGAGAAGTCGCAAGATTCTGCCTCACAGCAAAATCAAAATATACATCTGGACCAGCAGGGGGCGAACTTGCATATAGAGAAGGTAATTTTGAAAATAAATAAAAAAAAATAGAAAAAGTCACCTACACACACCAGCTTTCTTTAGTAGAAGAGGAAAAGCTACAGAATATAATTTATTATTACTTCACTGACTTTGTCTTTGTGTCATTTTCTATCAGACAACTCAAAATCCAAACTGTGAAGTCATTTCTACCATCCCCGTGGAGGAATCTGATCAGATCGTGGACTGTCTCAGTCCAAATCCTCCATCGTTCCCACATGTCTCCATGGTGCCAAACGAACTGCTGTTCAATCACAAAATGATACCATCTTCATCTTCATCTGCTTTCACTCAGGTTGTTACCATTCAAAGCCAAGCCACAGGGGAACTCAGGTAATCAGTCGTTTGCCATGTTGTCAGTAATTTTAGTTATTCATTTTAAAATAATTTTATCTAGTTTATAAATATGTTATTTTTTTATTAAGCCTGGTGTGGACTGTCGCCCAGGATTCTCCCTTCTCTGTCACTCCCACATCGTGTGACGTGGCCCCACTGACGTCCACTGAATTTCAAGTCACGTACAATCCCAAACAGCTCAACACACTACATGGAGGGCAGCTTGAGTGCTTTGCGTATAATAAGGTCATTTGATTCACCTCTGTTTCTTTTTTTTTTCTTTGTTACTATTTTAAACATTTTCTTTGTTTGGTTTTCATCCACGATAAAAGAGCCAAAAAGTATGAAATTGTCTGACTGTCGTGACCTTTGTTGATGCAGCAGGACAGTTCTGATAAGCTGTTTCCACCCTGCTGTGTGACCGTCAGGGTCATCGGACACTCCTTTCAGCCAGGAACACAACATTTTACACCAAGCTGCGTCTTGAATCCTTCTCAAGTGGTAAAACCGAAACTAAAAACCTTCATTTCAGTGTCAGAAAAACAAACTGTGCACCATGAGATAGTAAGAAGAGAAAAATATTCACAAAGTACCTGTGACATGCTTGTGCTTCAGATACAAAAAGTCAAAGAAAATATCTTTCTATTTAAAAAACATGGCATAATACACCTGACTTTACCAGGGTTCCTACAGATCCTTAAAAAGTCTTTAAAGGCATTGAATTCATCAATCCAAGAATAAGGCCTTAATTAGCCTTAAAATGTCTTAAATTAATCTGTCAGAAGTCTTAAAAATGTTAACACATTGTAAATAGGATGTTTGTGATTTGTCTCAAATATTAAAATAATTGGTAACATTTTTTTTAAATGTTCACATGCAGACATTCCTCTATGAAATCACTTCCTGTTGCTTCACATGCAAATATCTCAACAACCGTCTGTCTGACCGTTGTGGAATTCATTTCATAATATGTCAATAATGTTGTATTTCCAAAAATATATTCACATTTCTTATAAAAAAATTATGTCACCGGCACTTTAAGGTTTCGTCTACAGCAAATTAGGGTTGAGACCCCACTGTGGGTCCTAAAACTCCAAATTTTGGGTTGTTAAAGAATTTCCAGGAGTTAAATTAAGTTTAAAACTGACTGCTAAGAATGTTTTGCTATATTTGACATAAAAGCAGTTCGATATGGTTAAGAACAATTCGTTTATCAGGAATATTTGAATATTTCAACCAAAAATACTTTGATTCATGAGTTTCTGACAGTTTTAATTTTTTTGTCCTTTGTGTTTATTGTGAAATTGGTCTTAAATTCAATTTCATTTGGCATTAAAAAGTCTTAAATTTAACTCGCCTTTGAACTTGACTCTAAAAGTAAAACAGGAAGTGACGTTAAAGGGGAGCTCTTTAAGAAAAGGAACACCCTGTTCTTTGTTTATTGAAACAATATTGTTTGAACTCTGACTCTTCCTCACCTCTCTTCGACAGTGACTTGAAATAATCTAAAGAAACATCAGATTCTTCTCTACAGTCTGTTATTGTGGCAACTCTGCTCACATGCAGATATTCCCCTTTGACATCACTTCCTGTTACCTCACATGTGAATATCTCAAGAAAGGTTCATCTCAGCGGCGTGAAATTTATTTTCCAACACACTATTAACGTTGTATTTCCAAAAATGCATTCATATTTAATACAAAAATTGATGTCAGAGGCACTTTAAAATGGAGAATGTGTTTATCGTATCAACTTTTTGTGCTATAGGTCTTTCCAGTCCAGGGCGTTGTTTCCTGTCGGACTGTTCTGCTGCAGAACAATGCAGATCTACCGCTCAGCTTTTGCCTGGACAACAGCTCAGACAATTCATCTGCAGAATCCATGCATGTGCTCCCAGGTTGTGGTTTGATCAAGCCAGGAAGTCACCAAATCATCACCGTCAGCGCAGTTCCCACGGAGGACAGTCCCAAACATGGTTTCAACTTATCGTTACAGCTCAACGCAGCTGAATTCACAAAGGTATCACCTGACACAAGTCATTGTAAAACTAAAYCCTAATATTCTTGCTCTCTTCAAGTCTGTATCGTTTTTTTCAGGAACTAACAGTTGTTAGTGTGGTGGAAACGCCATGCGTGTCTTTGGAAAGTGGCGACAGTTTATATTTCCACCCAACAGCTGTGGGCTCGAAAACCCAGCGCACCCATCACATCAAGAACTTGAGCCGCCTGCCTGTACAGTCAGTTTGACCAATTTGTTATCTTTCCGGTTCATTTTGAGCCATTCCTGTGGGTTGTTTGTTGTCCGAACGTCCCTCCGCGTCGTTAATCTTGTCTGCAGCTGGCTTTCTCTGATTGTTCTCCTTGATAGGTTTCAGTGGAGCATTCCAGAGGCAGAGCAGGAGCTTATCTCTGTCAAACCAGATGCTGGTGAACTGCATCCCAACGAGAGCTCAGTGAGGGAGAACAGAGTGCCACATTAAGCTGGTTTTATATGCAACTGCAACTCAATAAAAAAAAAACATTCACTGAGGACTCTGGTTTTTTACAGATCCAGATGTGGTCCTTCAGTCCTTCGGCAGAGCAAGCATACACTCTCAAACCCACTCTGAACTTCTGGCCAATCCAGAGTGATGGATCTAATAAGTTACATCTTACTCTTGAAGTGACTGGAAAGGGTTCAAGGGGCTCCATAGAGGTGGGACTGGCATTGTGTTTGTGAGAGCTTTGTGCATTCTTACATACTTCTTTGTCTGTGATTATTGCAAATCAATTTATATCAAAATAATGATAAAAAATATATACATTTGGTCAAGTTTTAGAGGATCAGCTAACCTTGATGTTGGATGTTTTTTTTCTTCTTTCCAGACAGAGGAAGCAGTTCTGGATGTGGGGGATATTTTAGTTGGAAGCTGTCGATTAATTGAGATTCCTCTGGTGAACAACAGCCCCTGTCCCATGTCTGTTCGTCTCTCTGTAGAGCAGAAGCAAACAGATGTTCACCCCTTTTATGACTCTGAGGAGGATCAGAGTGGTAATTACTTTAAAGGGATCCCCGATTAGTTGTAACATTAGACTTTATTTGATAAACATATATTTTAACCGTAAAATAAAGACTGTAAAAATACTGTAGGCTGTTTAGTTTTGTACATTTTTAAAAATATATTTTAACATGGACGGAGCCATTTTATTTACATGCAAAGCATTCTGGGTAAATGATGATGTGGATAGGTCCTCGGTGTGAGCGAGYTATATCCACCCTGAAGGTTAATCTTGGACAATATCTGATGATCGACTCTTTTAAATGAAACCAGAGAGCGTTGACAGAGAGGAGAAGGTAGAAATGACTCAGCCTGGAACTGAAAATATGGATGGAGGACAACAGAGCTGCTTCATGGAAGAAGAACCTCAGCTTAGCCTGTTAGCCTTTGTGCTAGCACGGACGCTATATTGCCTTATATGTATTAGCTCGGAACTAGCGCGACAAACAAGCTAAACTGTTGTCCTCCATCCATATTTTCAGTTCCAGGCTGAGTCATTTCTACCTTCTCCTCTCTGTCAACGCTCTCTGGTTTCATTTAAAAGAGTCGATCATCAGATATTGTCCAAGATTAACCTTCAGGGTGGATATAGCTCGCTAGCAGCCTCGCACCGAGGACCTATCCATGTCATCATTTACCCAGAATGCTTTGCGTGTAAATAAAATGGCCCCACTCGTGAAATATATTTTTAAACTTTTTGTTTAAAAATGATAAAAACTAAACATCCTACAGTATTTTTACAGTCTTTATTTTACAGTTAAAATAAATGTTTATTAAATAAAGTCTAATGTTACAACTAATCAGGGATCCCTTTAATGATGTTTTTTGTAAATATTTATATAATTGTTGCTGCTTTCTGTACATTTATAAAGATATACATTCTCTGTGTGCATGTGCTGTTTTTTTTAACTAAATTTCTAATTATTCTGTTTTGCCCTTTCAGCTCTTCACCTGGACTGTGAAACAGCAACTATTGCCTCACATTTCACAGTCTCCCTTCGCTCCACACTCAGAGTATGCACTCAGGCACAGTACCTCTGGACTATCAGCTACCACGTTCTAAATCTTAATGGTAAAATAACTTACTCGTACCTTGACATAAACACAAGCATTGAGTTTTCATACAATACTTCCCCCTGCTTCTGTTTTTGTTTTCAGCCCGTGAGCCAAGTCCTCCTCAGAAACTGTGTGAGGTCCGAGCTAAGGGGACGTACCCCACCTTACAGGTGGTGGACTCGTGCAGCAGCGGCAGTGCCGGCAGACTCGGCAAGCTGCATTTGTGGAAACTCCTCTCACTGGATAGCCTCAATGAACTCCTGCTAGCTGCCCCCTCCCCTACAGAACTCACCTTCAAAACCCCCACAAAGCACAGGTCGATTTTGCAAACATTATTATAAACAATGCATTATAAATTAAAAAAAGTAAAGTTTCACATTTTGTTGACACCTGCCTGACGTCACCCTCTGCTTCTTTTCTTTAGTTTGCACAGTTGTCCTGCCATCTTCACCAACGTCAAGTTGGATTTCATCTTCAGCTCTGCTCCTCTCGATTCAGAACCGTCAGAATTKAAGTTGATGTTGCACAACCCCGGTTCTAACCCTGTAGACTGGTATGTAAACAACAGACAGCAGCAAAGACAGTAGAGTCAAATTATGTGTTAAATATAAAACCAAGCTGCAGTGTGCAGCTAACTATTTTTATATTTTACTATCAACTCTCAGGAAGGAGTGTTTTTTAAAAACTACATAAAATTATATGCCTATTAACTGATTTGTTGGTTTTGTTTTCATTATTAGGGCATTCTTATTTCCAAAAGACCAACAGATAGAGCTGGAGGACTGGGCAGTGACTGGAGAGTTCACCAGCTCAGAGCTCCACCAGATGATGGTTATAAAATATTGTTATTAAATATAACATTATTTGTGAATTTAAAATCTCAGATTCATAAAAAAAAAACAAATTTTATCTTTTTTTGTTTTTCTTTACAGGTTCAAGATAATAAAATATTTCAGGTTTACCCTAAATCTGGAACTTTGCTCTCTGGCCAGAAGAGGGCAGTACACTTCAGCTACAGGTCAGGAATGACCATACAGTATTTGACACAGGATACTGTCCAGAAACAAACCCCCATTCACACACTCAGTCAAATACTGTACATTTAATATCAATAAACACCACTGTAAACATTTATTTCCTTATTTAGTAACTTATTTTAACAGTTTTGATTGTAATGCCTCATAATAGTAAAGAACATCTTTTCTGCATCAGACTCTTTATGAAAAAATTGAATCTTTTCCTTCACAGTCACAGCTTCATTGGAACAAATCGACTTCCTGTTGTGTTTAAACACTCGTATGGCAGAGAGATCTTGGTGAGGCTTACAGATAGTTTATTCAAAACTAACAAGCCGTTCGGCGACAATGACAATTTTAGTAAAAAAAGTTGCTTTYATATATATATTTTTTGTCTGTTTCGTTTACCACATTTTTATTGTTTCTCTTTGTTGTGCAGCTGAACTTTCAGGGAGTGACAATGGAGAGAGATGAACCATGTGTCCACTTTTCTCATCGACATGTTTTCACCTCTGTATCTATCAGTGACACCAGTCCTCCACGGCAGGTGTGTACTTGATTGTTCACAATTTGTTGCACTGTGTATAATCAAAACTAACAGTGTGTTATTTTTCTGAAATGTACCTGTACTTGCTCACTGTCCAGATGTATGAGTTGTACAATGGAGGGGCAGTGCCAGTGTGTTATGAAGTGGACAAAGCTGTGTTGGCACAGCTTGAAGTGGACAACTTTAACCATCCGGTGTTGTGCTGTCTCAATCCAGAGGGAGAAGTTCCTCCTGGGAAGGCAGTAAAACTTGAGTGGATCTTCTCTCCACTGGTGGCCAAGCTGTACCAGGTATGGTTTGAACAGTTTGCTCTGTACTTCATCCTGGATCTGTTTAGATCAATAAACCGAGTCATTTCTAATACCTAAGTCTTTTTTGGACATTCTCTTCCCAAAAGTTTCAGCCTTGCCTTCTGATTTACTCGTTTTGTTTTTGTACGCTGCTCAGATGGATGTTCTGATTCACATCAAAGAAAACAACTTCTCAATAACTGTGAAGTTTGAAGGATGCGGGATTGATACTTCAACACTGGCTTCTTCAGACATCCGTACGTGCAGCGATAGTAGAGCTGCCGAACACCGTGTCCGGAGGGTGCCCTTCCCAGGACAGGTGGGTTTCCCTACACCAGTGGTGTCCAACTCATTTTCACTAAGGGTCACATGATGGTGGCCCTGAAAGTGCCAGTCGTAAATTAACTTTAACGTTTCATGTTTAACTTCAAATAAATATAAAAAAAAATCATGTTTCTCTTCTCGTTGCTATGGTTGAGCACTGCTAACAAATAATAACTGAGCTCTACGTGGTATTTTCTGCATAGAAACATCGTTTTAACACATCCTCTTATAAACACTAAAAAGTAATGTGAAAAAAATACAGAAATTATTTTAAAAGTATAAGTAGGAGAGTTTTACTCACTGTTGAGCTGTGGTGAGTAGCTGCCCACTCCCTCTTTCCTACAGGGAATTCCCATACATAATCAACATGCGTTATAGGAGAGTTTATGGTCGATGTTGGCTTTAAAGCAGCTTATTTTAAGACGTTAATACCGGACTATTCAACTAAATTTCTCAGTTACTTAAAGCCAACAGCTCAGAGGGAGGACAAGCATTAATATCAAAGATACAAATGCAAAGTATACCATTGATATCAAAACTATTTAAAATAAAATACATTTTTTTGGGCCTGACGGGAGTCACCCGCGGGCCTTGAGTTTCACACATGTGCCCTAGGAATACACAAAACCATATACACACCTTGCTCTACGCAAGTCATTTGTACATAATTTTATTCATTTTTTGAGTATTTTGCTATTATATCGTGTGTGTGTGTGTAGGTGTTATTCCTATCAGAGGACAGCATCTCCCTTGGCGATGTTCCTGTTTGCTCGCAGCTGTCTAGAATCTTCTTCCTCACCAACGTGTCCCACACAGACACGGCTCGCTACACGTGGGAGTTTCCCCAGCAGAGGAGCCAACAGGTTGGTTTCACGAGGTGAATCGGTTTAGATTTTAGAGCAACAGCTTTGACATTTAATTCRTTTTAAATGTTACAGCAGGTGGTGCAGATCCACCCGGAGCGAGGCCGTCTTTGTCCAGGGGAGTGCACGCTTTGTGTCCTGACATTCACTGCTACCGGTTACCCCACCGTTTATCAGCTTGATCTCATCTGTCAGGTACCACAGGGACAGTGTCCATGTAAGGAGGATGGTTTGAAATCCAGTTAAATTCTCACACATTTCCCCACGTTTTGTCCCGTCCTTCTGTTCTCCAGGTTTTTCGGGAGGCTGCTTTAGCTCGGTATTGCGACGCGTTGCGGTGCTGGGAGCAAGAGAAAGAAAGACAGCAGGATGAGTTCCTAATCCCAGACAAAAATATTTCAAGGAGCTCAAGAGTTTTGATAGATGAGGTTTGACTTGATATACTGTATGCATGTTAAGTAAAATTATGTAACAACATATTTAACTATGCTTTCTTATTTTGATACAGAACCCTTTAGCCCCTTCAAGAGAAGGACCACCACTCTTCAAATACAAGGTTGACTTTGTTTATCATCTTTTACATTTCACAGTTTGTGTATGGAGTGTAAAGCTAAAGTGTAGTTTCTGTTGCCCTTGCAGACTCTTCCTCCTATCCCTGCCAGTRGTGGCAAAGCTCTCGGTGCCAAAGAAACAATAACCGATCAACGGCCGCGGCGAGAAAAGGCYAAAGTTTGGAGGCGGCCCCAACCCCCCGATCCTGCTCTGCTGCACCTGAACGTTACAGCTCACTCCCATGGGCTTCTGGACTACTCCACGCACTTTCCTGACCAGCACCGTAACTATTACAGGTACAGGAATCGTTTCACCTTTTAAATTTTCAAAAATGAATTGTTGCTGCTTTTGAAAACACTTAATTTTTTTCATAAGAATGTTCATCATCAGATATGTTGAGATGAATTTGCTTCCTTTTCGTATAAACTTGCAATCAAGACAAAAACAGCAAACTGCACCAAATTCTGCAAGTGCATCTCTGTCTCCATCAACTTGTAGTCCTGGGAGAGACATCCATGAACACGTTTTAACTCTGCTGCTCAGGTAACACCCAGAGACAAGGATTTATGTGTTTGTTTACTGCAGGGGATTTATTTGTATTATATTTTTTTCTTTTCAGAAGTKTACTGGACGATGCACCCTTTGTCCGGTCTCTGGTTACTGTCGCCTCTAAGATCTGTTCGTACCAGCTTCCCCTTTCTACTTCTTCATCTTCACCTGAGCCTCGTGTTTTAAGTGATGGAGTGGACAGAGAGGAGGCTGAAGAAACACAAAGCCCACCACAGCCTGAGCGTGCACCTCCTGATATGTGTGAGGCTGTTTTCACTAATATGTTTCAGAACCTGATGACTGAAGCTGTCAGAGGAGAACTCGACCTCACAGCTCATCCCTGATCATCCTGCCTCCTCGTTCAGTAAAATACAAGTATGTTTCATTCTGACAGTTTTCTTGTTTAGTACACTGTTAAAACGTGAATTAGCAGCGTTTGTCCCTTCCCTCTTTTTAATGCCGTTCTGTCCCAGCACAACCCAGCTTTCCACATTTTTGCCTCGTTCAGGGGCTTCTATCAAAATTCACGTCTTATTGTTCAACCTTATGTGTGTATTCTAACGAGGACAACCATTTTTACTTTTTTTTGTTTTGTTTTTATCTCACTAGCTTTATTTTCTTGCTTGTTTCCACTACTTGTAACCTTGTCCTTCATAGGAACCTCAAAAGGTAAATAAAATATACTACAGCTGATTTAAATTATAGTAGTTTGTGCTTTGATACATTATAAAAGCAAATGCAACTGAGACATATTTTGTTAAACAACAGAGAGGTTGACTTTGTGCGTTTGTAATAAAGATACACACGTATGTTTTTGCTGCCATCTTGTGGCGACACAGTTTTTTGCAAGCTGGTTGTTTTACACCCTAAAAACAAACATATGGCAGAATGGAAAGTCAAAAATGATTTTTAACAAATGCAATCATTTGATTAAGTAAATCAAATCTAAAAAATGCTGTAAACTAAATGGTGTAAAAAACATAATAAAATAAATATAAAATATTTATTAGAAAAATCTGCTTTTTCTAATAAAAGAAAAAACATTTTTTACTCAATATTTTTAAGAAATTCAATAAATATATCTTCAGTAATCCTGGCCAGTGTTTAATTTATACAAAAGTGTTTTCACTGGGTTAGAGATCTATCAGCTAATGATTTTGCAAATAAAACATTATTWTTAGCGGTAGATCTGAAACCAATGACAACACTTTGTTGCAACATCMGTTATAAAACAGCTTTTGTTCTACTTTTCAATCATTCTTCATTCTTCGTTGTTTTTTTTTCTAATTTTTTTCTTTCAATACTTAGTGGATTTTTATTGATATTTTTATGCTTTTAAACTTCAGTCTTTTAATAAAAACTACATGCAACAATATTGGAAATTCAAACTTCTAGTGCATTTTATTAAATTTGCTTTATTCTAATACAAGCACAGAAACGTCTGCTGTTTTAGCTCATGGACACTATTTTTTTTTAAAATACCACATTTTGTTTAATTTCTCCAAACTTCATTTTATTAAAGATTTCATTCCCACATCAGAGCTCCTCTCTCAGAGAGTTGAGGTTTCTAAAAGAAAAAGAGGGAGGTTTTGTTCTGAAGATAAACTYTTTGTCTACAAATTACATGATTTAAAACTTGTTACAAGTTTTGCTGGCAGATTTCCAACATATGACAACGCATTTTCAAGTTGATTCCATCGAATTCCACAAGATGGCAGTAGAGACATAAAAACTAACCTGACACTAAGTTGATGTGGCCAAAAATAAAAGAATTGTTATGCAATAATAATAATAATAATAATAATAATAATAATAATAATAATAATAATAATAATAATAATAATAATAATAATAATAATAATAATAATAATAATAATAATAATAATAATAATAATAAGTTTTAATTTACCTACAATTACTTTGTTAAATTTAGCAATTATGTTAGATTTTATGTTCATTTTTCTGTTACTGCTATCTCAGAGCAAACACATTTTATACTTCTGAATAAAACATTATTTTGTGTTTTTATGAGACGTATAAATTCTTCAGAAATTTAAGTTTGAGAAAATGTGTCACTTTAAAGAACTCTAAAAGACCCTTTTTATTTATGTGAGGAATGTCTGTACGTGTGCCTGTTTGTGGCTGGCAGCATTTAGAGGCCGATCCAGAAGTCATCTGCACAGTATCTCTGAGACAATCTGCATGTGTGTGTGTGTGTGTGTGTGTGTGTGTGTGTGTGTGTGTGCTGTTGAGTGTTTGTGTGTGTATGTCTGTTACCCATCTGGCTGGTCTGCTCTATCTGTTCGCAAACAAGCAGCAGTGCCACAAGCCCTCTGGTCCCAACTTGGACAAAGAAGAAAGAGCAAAAAAAAGACCCAAAGTTTTCAAACAGGGGAGCGGGGAGACAAGATAAGATCTGTTATAATAAAGTTTCTGCTCTGCCAGTAATGCTGATGAATCACACTCTTCCTCTGTGTGGGATGTGCGATCTGAGCAAAGTGAAAGACTTAATACGATCCTCCAAGTTGTTCCAAGATGTTTCACCCATTTTTTTTTGTGACTAGCTTAATTAAACTTTCAATTTATTTGCAATTTTTAAATCATAATGGAAAATAGAATCCTTAAACTATGGAGAATGAAAAATACAGATATTCATAATTGTTTCATATACAACCATTCCTGCATTTCATGTCTGAAATACAAGCAGTTGGGAGCAATAATTTTTTTTACCGTTTTCTAAAGTTGCCATTCCCTTTTTTTATAACACTCCAGATATTCCAGCACTGAGGATATAAACGATATGTTTTAGGCGTTACTTCATCCAGTTCTTACTGTAATTTGATCTTCAGGTGTAACTGTGATGAGTGTTTTTTTGCTTTAAAATGTCATTCCCATGATCATCTTCCTTCGGCTCAACATTAACAGGCTTTTGGGTTGTCACGTCAAAAAAATATACAAGTCTTAGTGGGGAAAAAATGTCTTAAAGGCAAYAACATCTCTGCACATTTTCTAACATCAATAACAGAAAAAATGTTTTCTTGTTAGCAATTCACACTTTAATGAAGCTGGTGCCTTTCCCCTGCAGCGTTTGAGAAACGGGGTACACTTTGGATGGGTCACAAATCCATCACGGTGAAATCTGCTAAGATGTTGTTATAAAATTCATATAAACCAGCAGAAACAGATGTCAGGACAAACATCCATCCATCATAAACATTTGGAAAATAGGAAAAAAAAAAACATTGCATCAAGTGTTGAGAAACTTGAACAACGGTGTTATTATTTCAAACTGATTAGGCATACGTCGAGAAAAGATCTACTTTATTTTTATCATTAATTTAATTCTGTTGCAGAGAGTAAATGACTAGAAAACCTGAAAAAGATCAACTTAGTAGTAAAAATGTGATTCGATTTCACGTACTGTACAATAGTCCGTATTGTTGTGCTCTCTGTGACTTTTCTGTTGAAAAAAGGCTTACGAGTTGCCAAAGGGCTGATGTTGTAACCTCTAAAATTACCAAATAATACATGCCACAGAGCCGGATTGTTTGTCTGCTCCTGATAATTAAAGGATAAACACCACTCCTACACATGTTGCGCACTAGTTAGAAATCTGTGAAATGACAGGATCTGTGCAACAGTCGCTTACATGGAAAACCCATTTTGTAAAGATACTGCTGTACGTGGCGTGTAAAGCAGGGATTTTCTCAGCTCAAGTGCAACAAGGGGAGTTTCTTTAAAAAAAAAAACAATAATGGTGTTTTTTTTTTTTTTCAAGAGACTGGTGAAAAACTTCAAACATAATGCTAAATATAGTGCCTGGAAAAGGTGTACCTACTGAACCACTATGGCTTTTGGTCAATTGCAAATGGGACTTTCTTCTTGCTGTTTTTTTTCCTAAAAAGGCCACATTTGTGATATAAACAACTAATATTAATCATGTCCACTGATGRTCTGCAGCTCCTCCAGAGTTACCATGGGCTTCTTGGCTGCTTCTTGGATTAAAGCTGTCCTCGTGGTCTTAGCACTTTGTGAGTCTGCAGCCGTGCTGTCCACTTTCAGATGATGGACTGAACAGTGCTCTGAAAATCACAAATATTCCTTTCACTTCTAGCCTGACCCTTTCCTTCCTACACAGTTTTGTTCAATATTAGTTTCCCTTCACTGCTCCATCTGGGATTTCTCCCATAGACAAAGATTTCTCCAGTAGAATTTTAACCGGGCCCATCAGCGAAGAGGAGGAGTTGTGAATGACGACGTTGAATTTCTGCGCTTCGTCTGCCTGTAGTTTAGCAATGGCAGTGGTGGAAGTGAAYGAAGCCAGTCCGTGTTGCTTCCGAATTAAGTTAAATTTGTCTCAAAAAGCCTGCAGCACTCATTCACAGCCACTTTGTTCGGCTTGATATCTCTCTCTTCCCAGTAGGTTAGTTACGGCGCACGCAATTACCAGTTAGCTTCTTAGCTTCTTCCTTCACGGTTGAGCTAGCGCACTACATACATCACTTAGTGATTGGGTAAATCAGATCCAATCTTTTTAAAATTTCAACAGAATCCACGCCTCCAGCAAGAAATTACTTCTCAATACACACCCTCTGAACGAAGCAAAGCGTAGAACAAGGGGCTGGTTTCTCCCAGACTATCCCACCTCACAGTTATGTGCTGATTTGTGCTGGCCTATCACTTAAACTCAACATATTACTTTGATGCTGTAATGTGACAAAGTGTGGAGAATTTTAGAGACATGAAAGAAACTGCATGCTGAATGTAATGCATACTCTCTGATAATATGTGACCCATCACATCAAAACAAGGATTAAGTCCAAAAATGTACAGATATAGGGTTTTGATTTAAATGTGTGCAAAAATTGCATTTTGTCAAAATATAATGAATTAATGCCTTATCAATGTACAGC